AAAATTTTCAAATTCTTTCCAAAAATGAAAATTTTCAAATTCTTTCCAAAAATGAAAATTTTCAAATTCTTTCCAAAAATGAAAATTTTCAAATTCTTTCCAAAAATGAAAATTTTCAAATTCTTTCCAAAAATGAAAATTTTCAAATTCTTTCCAAAAATGAAAATTTTCAAATTCTTTCCAAAAATGAAAATTTTCAAATTCTTTCCAAAAATGAAAATTTTCAAATTCTTTCCAAAAATGAAAATTTTCAAATTCTAAGCCTCTTCTTAGTTATTTCAATTTTCCGGATGTTAAAACTCCCTTCTTTTAAAAAAGAATGATTCAATTTTCTTTTTAGTCTATTTAAAAAAAAATGATCCCTTTCTTTTTTTGGTAACACCCTTAACTTTAACTTTTCACGTGGCATGTTTAAGACCACAAGATTAAATGACATTTTAGTACATTTGACATAACTTTGATTTGGAACCACAAGATTAAAAATTCTTCTTTCTTTTCTTAAACTCCGTGTCAAGTCAAACTAGGTCATTTTTTTTTTTTGAAACAGAGGAAGTAATATATATGATGATATGATATGATTAGTATTGAGTTTGCTCTTCTTTTTATCTACTATATTCTTGTATAGTTTGAAGTTGTTGTCTATAGTTTCTAATTCTACATGTCACGCAAGCCAAATTCAATAGTGTTTAGTTTCTCCATATGCCTTTTTATCTTACACGTTCCTTAGGTCTTGCACTGAATCTCTTCAATTACTTGAGGGAAATTCTCATGACCAACGAAATGGTTCAGAAATTTGAAAAGTTCCCCTCCTATTCTTCTCGTGCTAAATCATATATATATAATTCTAGACCCGCCTATGAGGCGCCATCACAAACTAGTATTTTCTTTTAATTTATTTTATTTTCAAAACTAGCATTCCTCTTTCATGAAAAATTGCGACTTTTATGAAGAATTGCGATTTTTATGAAAAGTTGTGACTTTTATGAAAGGTTGTGACTATAACTTTTCCAAAAAGTTGTGACTTTTCCGATAAGACACAATAAACATTTGGTCACACTACCATTTCTTGTCTATAAATAGAGAAATTTCCTCTCATTTTAAAACAACCAAAATTTTGAACTTCTTTTGGACAATTAAATATTGGTGTACTTTGCTTCTGTAGAATGACTCACTGATACCATTATTTTTGTATCAATACACTGGTGAATAGAACCGTTCTATCCTGAAGATCTATTCATTTAAACCTCGAGTACTAGAGGGGAATAATTTCCTTAAGGGGACATTGTGCATTCATGTAACACCCCGACTTTCCGAAACGTCTAAAATTACTCGTATCTCCATGGAAAGACAAGGAGGGTGGGTAATAAATTAAGAAGGATGTGGTATGTCATATTTTAAGTGTTCAAATGTTTTATCTCAAGTTTTGAAGTTAAGTAAGTGGACTAAAATAAAGTTGGACGAAAGTTATTATAAGTTTAC